TAAACTGAAAGCAGAAATAGAATCACGGAACTGAAAGAGACCCAAAGGGTCATCCAGTCCAGTCCCCTGCCATGCAGAAAGACACAATCCAAGCACTCCCAACAAATGGCCATCCAGCCTCTGAAAATCTCCAAAGAAGAAAACCTCCTCCATATTCTGAAGCAGTATATTCCAATGTTGAACAGCTTTTACTGTCAGGACGTTCTTCCTAATGTTTCCACTGCTCTGTGTCCTAGTCTCTGGAGCAGCAAAAAGCAATCTTGCTCCATCCTCAATTTGACACCCCTTCACATATTTAAACATGGTTATCATGTCATCTCTTAGGCTTCTCTTCTCCAGGCTAAACACACTCAGCTCCCTAAGTTACTCTTCATAGGGTATGGTTTCCAGACCCTTCACCAGTTTGGTCATCCTCTCTGGACATGGTACATCTTGCCAACATCCTTCTTCAGTTGTGATGCCCAGAACTGGACACAATATTCCAGGTGAGTTCTTCCCAAAGAATTGAGGGTCATCATTAGCATACTGATAGCACCAGACCCTTAAAACTCTGAAAACGTTTCCTAATAGACGACTTCTCATCCAGTCCCTTCCCTCTGCCCTCCTCCCTTCCCTTAGCCCTGCTCCTCTCATTTTCCCAATTACTCATCTTTTTATCACTACCCTCCCATTTATGAGCAACTGTTCTGCACAGTACACACACAAAAGGAACCCATCTGGTTGTTGGAACGGATATCTTAAATGCCACTTCTTCCATTATTTCACTTTCCTCTTTTATTATTGATGTGTCAAGGTGGAGAAGGTGATCCATGTCTGCCAGTCCTGATGCCTCTCCCTTGCCCCCAGTATCGAAGGCCATTTGTTTTTCAGTGCCAGTTGCTAAGGAACATATGTGGGAGGATGCTGTTGCACTCATGTCGTGCTCCTGAGCTTCCCACTGATACATTTGGCAGGCATGTGGGAAGAGCATATTAGATCAGGTTGGCCTTTGGTCCAATAAAGCAGAGGTGTCTTATGTTTTGTTGTTGTTGTTGTGCGCCTTCAGGTAATTTCTAACTTGTGGTGACCCTAAGGTGGCCAAAAATGCGTTGTGCACAACAAAGAATTCCAGAAGAAAATAAGTATGTGCTTTATAGATTACAGTAAATCTGTGCTGTGAAAAGTTATGGAACGCGCTCAAAGAAACGGCAATGCCACTACACTTTATTATTGTGATGAGAAACCTGTACTCAGGACAAGAGAGCACTGTTAGAACATAATATGGAAAAACAGAGTGGTTCCCAATTGGCAACGGGGTCAGACAAGGGTGTGGTGACTGGTGAGGAGCACAGAAACGCTGCTCTGAGGTTTTTCCCCCAGACCTTTGAATGAGCTATCTAAAGTTTCAGCACCTTGGGTCATCCTAGAAATGGAAGCCAAAGACACTGTTTTGGGGATAAGCATCTTGGATAGCTCCTTTAAAGTCTTGCAGTGGATTCATTGTGATCTCCCCAAAATGGAAATCACTAGCCACTGACCACATGTTTAATTTCCTGATTTAGATTGCCCACCCTAATGCTTGGTTCCCATTTCAAAAAACTCCAGTCTCACTGTGACACTTTTGGAGGACATCCTATTAGTGACATATGCAGCCCTAAGTCTTTTAATTTTAATTACTGCATAAGTTGGTATTCTCATCTTCTCTCAACAATGACAAAAGGTGTGCCCCCGCAGGTCACAATT